AAAAGGTATGGGTCATAATTATTACGGGGAACCCGCATGGCCCAATGATCTTTTATATATTTTTCCAGTAGTTATTCTTGGTACTATTGCATGTAATGTAGGTTTAGCAGTTCTAGAACCATCAATGATTGGTGAACCCGCAAATCCCTTTGCAACCCCGTTAGAAATATTACCTGAATGGTATTTTTTTCCTGTATTTCAAATACTTCGTACCGTGCCTAATAAAATATTAGGTGTTCTTTTAATGGTTTCAGTACCTACGGGATTATTAACAATCCCTTTTTTAGAGAATGTTAATAAATTCCAAAACCCATTTCGTCGTCCAGTAGCAACCACTGTGTTTTTGATTGGTACCGGAGTGACCTTTTGGTTGGGCATTGGTGCAACATTACCTATTGAGAAATCTCTCACTTTAGGTCTTTTTTAAATTTGTTTTGTGGAGTTTTAATTCAATTTTAAAAAACCAAAGCTTGTGTATCTAGGGAAGCGTTTCTTCAAAGTTCTTCCTAGATACACCTAAATTCATATTCATGAATTTTTCGATTCCTTTTTGATATTTTTTAATATTTCGTATTTTGAATATGAAACTCTTAATTCATAGTGATGAAAATAAAATGATCAAATTCTAGACTAAAAAATATTTTATAAAAAGTTTTTTTATTAATTTATTAATTAAACCGAAGTTTCTTATAAATAAAGTACAAAATATTTTCCTAGAATCCCCAATATGTTTTTTATATCTTCTAGTTGAAAATGTTCTATTTTTAAAAGATATTCTTGTTTGTGATTAAAAAGATCAAATAATGTAAATATATTTGACTTTTTCAAGCAATTATATATCTTGGGAGGGAATTCTAATTGGTCAATAAAAATTAATTTCAATGAAAGTTTCTTTTTTTTTTTTATAAGTTTAGTCACTTTATTATAAAAGATAAGGGAGGATAGGGGAATTTTGTGTTCCGCATCCGCTAAATATAAGCTTTCTTCTTCCATATGGAAAAAAGGAATAAAGAAATCAATCAAGATTCGGGCGGCTTCATGAAGTGCTTCTTTTGGTGTTAAACTCCCATTTGTCCATATTTCCAAAAAAAGTATCTCTTGTTTTTCATTCCCATAAGAATGAATACTATGATTCGCATTTTGAACCGGCATGAATAGAGCATCTATAGGATAAATTCCATCGTCAAAGTGAAGGTCCGCTTTGTTGAAATATCCGCGATTTCTCTCTATTTTTAATCCAATAAAAAAATCAATAGGTTCTGTCAACCAAGCTATATGTTGTGTGTTATCAACGATTTGTACATGAGGGGGTAATATTATATCTTGGGCAGTTACATGTCGAGGTCCCTTGATACAAATAGACGCATCACAAGTTCCATATTGATTGCTCCTCAATACAATTTCTTTCAAATTCATTAAAATCTCATGTATCGATTCTTGAATCCCGCCTATGGTAGAATACTCATGCGAGGCTTTCTCAGATTTTACACGTGTGATACATGTCCCTTCTATTTCTCCCAGTAAAGCTCTTCGCATCGCAATTCCTATTGTATCGGCTTGACCTTTTATAAGTGGAGATAGGATAAAGCGGCCATAAAAAAGGCGTTTACTGTCTATTCTTGATTCAACACATTTCCACTGTAGTGTCCGAGTAGATACTGCTACTTTCTCTCGAACCATAAAAATTTTGATTTAGTATATTAGTGAATCTTCTATTTCTCTTGATATAGGTTCACTTTTGATTTCTACACACGTCGTTTTTTGGGGGGTCTACAGCCATTGTGTGGCATAGGGGTTATATCCCTTATAAAAGTTAATAGTAGACCGCTTCTATGAATAGCTCGTAATGCTGCATCTCTTCCGAGACCGGGACCTTTTATAAATACTTCAGCTCGTAGCATACCTCGATTCATTACTTTACGAAGAGCATTTATTACCGCGGTTTGAGCAGCAAAAGGTGTTCCTCTTCTGGTTCCTTTGAATCCAGAAGTACCGGCAGAGGACCAAGAAACTACCCGTCCCTGTACATCTGTAATAGTCACTATGGTATTATGGAAACTGGCTTGAACATGAATTACTCCTTTTGGTATTCTACGTGCATTCTGACGTGAACCACTACGTCCGCCCTTTCTACGCGAACTAATTTTCGATATATATTTTACCATTAAGCATTTTTTAAATCTGAGTCAGCGATACACTATATGGATATATCCATTTCACAATTCTTTCATTTATAGAATTGGTTTAGTTACTAAGTTAAGTTGCGAAGTCTTATTATCCCTGTCGTTGTTTATGTCTGGGATTGGAACATATTACTATAAGTCGTCCCCTTCTCCGTATTAATCGACATCTGTCACAAATTTTACGAACAGAAGCTCTTATTTTCATATAAAGACTCCTTACATTTCTTTTAAATTTACTTTAGAGTTTCGGTTTTATTGGAAGATTCTAATAAATACATTCATTTTTTTCTATTTTAAATTTATAATTTTGTTATTCTTGCTAAATGAATAGCTAAGTTGAGAAACGACTCCTTTGAATCATTGTTGTGTTGCAAAAGATTCATCGACTTGTTCTGAAGTAAACTAAAAAAGGATTTAGCCTATTTTCACAAACAGAACTTAAAAAAAAAAAAAGAAAGTGATTTTTGTTCTTTATTGTGATCTTTAAAATATTACCATATATAACACAAAATTTCCCCCCCGATTCTTTGCAGTCGGGCTTCTCGGTCTGTCATTATACCACGTGAAGTAGAAAGAATTACAACCCCCATCCCGCCTAAAATTTTAGGTATTTTTTTAGACGTAGAATACATTCGTAGACCGGGTCGACTTATCCGTTTTAAATTTAGAATATTGCTAAAGGTCCTTTTTTTAGTCTTGATATGTTGCAGAGTTAAAACTAAAAAATTCTTGTTGTTTTCTCGATGTTTTCTCACACTTTCAATAAAACCTTCTTTTAAAAGGAGTTTTACAATCTTTTCGTTAATATTACTGGATGGGATTCGAACCATTCTTTTTCGATCCATATCAGCATTCCGTATAGAAGTTATTATCTCAGCAATAGTGTCCCTACCCATGATAAACTCTAATTATGGGACTCAAAAATTTTATATTCTCAACGTGTTTTTTTTATTGTCTATGGATTATTGTGTTTATCTTACTTTAATTTTAATCTTAAAATTATATACGTGAGACAGATTCTACTCCATTTTTTTTTTTGAATTTTTTTTATAATACCTCAGGAGCTAATGAAACTATTTTAGTAAAATTTAATTGTCTCAACTCCCGGGGGATTGGACCAAAAATTCTGGTCCCTTTTGGATTTCCTTCTTTATCAATAACAACTGCGGCATTATCATCATATCGTATTATTATCCCGTTGCCGCGTTTTAGTTCTTTACAGGTACGCACGATTACGGCTCTAACGACTTCAGATCTTTGTAGAGGCATATTAGGTACAGCTTCTTTGATAACAGCAACAATAATGTCACCAATATAAGCATATCGACGATTGCTAGCTCCTATTATTCGAATACACATCAATTTTCGAGCCCCGCTGTTATCTGCTACATTTAAAAGGGTTTGGGATTGAATCATAGCATTTTTTTTTATTCTTTTCTTTCACAATGCAAAGGGCGAAGAAAAAAAGAAATATTTTTTGTCCACAAACATAAAACGAAACTTATTTTTTTGTTTTTGTTTCATTCTTAAGATTCTTTGGGGTAGTTTTAGAGTGATATTTTCTATTCTATCTCCGAAATAATGAATTGAGTTCGTATCGGCATTTTCGATGCTGCTATTGAAATAGCTTTTCTGGCAATATTTTTTGTTACTCCACCCATTTCAAAAAGGATCCGACCGGGTTTAACAACAGCAACCCAATATTCAGGGGATCCTTTTCCTGAACCCATACGTGTTTCTGCGGGTCGTACAGTAACTGGTTTATCAGGAAATATACGTACCCATATTTTTCCTCCACGACGTGCATTTCGTGTCATTGCCCGTCGGCCGGCTTCTATTTGTCTAGATGTGATCCAAGCGGGTTCAAGTGCTTGAAGCGCATATTTACCGAAACAGATATGATTACCTCGAGAAGCTATTCCCTTCATTCTTCCTCTATGTTGTTTACGGAATCTGGTTCTTTTGGGGTTATAGTTGATGGATTTTTATTTATTACATCTCTACTACAGAACCGGACGTGAGAGTTTCTTCTCATCCAGCTCCTCGCGAATTACGAATAAAGGATTTACAAAATGAGCTTTTGACTAAAATTGATTAATCATAGTGAAGATATCTAAATCTTCAATCTAAAGATAGATACTAAGATAAATACTACAAATCTAAATATAGATAATAAGATCTATAATAATAATATGGACTGAGAAGTCCAAATAATATTTAGGAATTGAGTGATATTTTTTTTCAATCTATTTGAAATAAAATGACTTATTCTACACTTTTTTCATGATTCTCTGAGTCTAACTAATCCTTCTTTTTGACTATTCTTGAATATTGTCTTTATATTGCTTTTTGATTCTTTTGCAAAAAGTTTTCGCGGCGAATATTGACTCTGTCAATTTAGATTTCATTTCTAGGACGAGCCTGTTACATCTTCTAGCTACTATCTAGAAATCAAATAATTTAACATTGGTTTATTTCGCCATCCCAGCCAGTGAATATTTAAGATTTTTTTTATTTAATCTTAAATTGAATCTTTTTTATTCATAAGTTCCGTCGTCCCCATCACTTCTTACTTAATGGTTAGGTCCTAATTTTACAATGGAGCTCAAATAGTAATATATGAATAATTTGAGTCTTGAGCCATTTTTCTTAGTCTTTATTGGCTTTAAGCTCTTTACTTTAAATTTATCTAATAATTATCTATTCTATAATTTAATTTCTATAATAAGAGTATATTGTTTTTTATTATTGAATATTCTTAGATTTTTTATTCTATTTCAAATACTTGAATATGCAGAATTTAAGTATTAATGCTTCATTACATTGCCTATTTTGTTAGACCCTACATATTGGAATTTTCAATCATTGAGCTTATTTTTCTTCCTTTCTCTCTCCCTTCCAATTATCTACATCTTTTTTATATCTTGCTTGGCAACTTCAATAATATTTGAATAATTTTTGTTTATGCAAATAAATGGCAATTGCTACAACGATATGAGCGCTAATCATATCATGACTGGTTATTTAGATCCAGATAATGCGAAATTGATGAGTTAGTTATTAGGTAATTTCTTCTCGAGTGAGTAGTTGTTACTTTGGGTTTGGTTTCATGCTAACCTTAAAAAAATGAACGAGTCGCACACTAAGCATAGCAATGATATTTTTATTAAAAAATAAATAAAATTTTTATTCAACCTTATAGAATTCATTATTATCAATTAGAAATCAATTAGAACTGTTCCTGCTCATTACACAAAATAATTTGTGAAATGGGCCGCTTGGTATTACAGGTAAAAAGAATGAATAAAATTTTATTGAGCTTCATCAAAAAATATCCAAATTTTTATGCCTAAAACCCCGTAGATAGTTCGAACTGAATAACAACAATAATCCATTTTAGCTTGAATAGTTTGTCGGGGAACTCTTCCTTCTCTTATCCATTCCACACGTGCAATTTCCTTTCCGTCAAGGCGTCCCGCAATTTGTACTTGAATTCCTTTTGTATCTGCTTGTTCAGCTAATTCAATAGCTTTTTTCATTGCTTTTCGAAAGGAAACTCTATTCTTTAATTGTCCAGCTATAAATTCGGCAAGAATATTAGGATTTCCATACGGTTTTTCAATTTTTGTGATAGCAATATTCAGTTTTCGGTTTACAAAATTTAATTTTTTTTGTAGAGCTTTTTGTAATTCTTCAACTCCCTGTGGGCTATTTTCCATAAATATTTTTGGAAATCCCATATATATTATGACTTGGATTAGATCGAGTCTTTTTTTTAATATATATACTTGCAATTCCCTCGGTAGCCGAGGGTTTGATTCTATTTTTTTGTACATAATTTTTGATAAAAGCTCTTATCTTTTGATCTTCTTGCAGATTTTCAGCATACGTTTTTGGTTTTGAAAACCAAAGTGAATAATGGGCCTGGTTTGTACCAAGTCTGAAACCAAGTGGATTTATTTTTTGTCCCATAAATACCTCCTATTCTGGATATCAGAATATGCTTTAGTTCTAGAATTTTTTTTCGCTTGTGGTTTTTTTAGCAAACCGAGCTCCACAGATTCAGAATCATTGAATGAAATATCTTTTAGTACAATACTGATATGGCAGGTCGGTCTTTTTATTGGATAACTACGCCCACGAGCCCGAGGTTTTAATTTTTTTCGAGCAGTCCCCTCATTCACTTCAGCTTTACTAATAACTAAATTTGCTTTATTTGCAGCCATAGTGTAACTAGCATTTGATGCGGCTGAATAAACCAATTTTAAAATTTGATAACTGGCACGATAGGGCATGAGTTCTAATATAATAAGTGTTTCCTCATAGGAACGCCCACGAATTTGATAAATAACTCTTCTTGCTTTATTAGCCGACATAGCTATACGTCGACCTAAAACGTATACTTCTGGGGTTTTTTTATTTAGCATCTGGTACATAAAGTTTGCCTCCTACTAATGACTCATAAGCATCAAGATATTTTTTAGTATTCACATTACCGATGAGATCTATTATCATTTTTTGCATGTCCTCGAAAATTTAAAGTAGTTGCAAATTCTCCCAATTTGTGTCCGACCATATGATCCATTATATAAATAGGGAGATGCTCTTTCCCATTATGAATCGCAATAGTATGACCAATCATTATTGGAATAATAGTAGATCCCCGGGGACCAAGTTATTATTATTTCTTTTTCTCCCTTTATGTTAAGTTTCTCAATTTTTTTTAATAAATTCTGAGATACAAAGGGATTTTTTTTTAGTGAACGTGCCACAGTTTACTCCTATAAATTTTATTATTCTTTTATTTTTTTATTTTTCATATAATTGAATGAAGAAATTTAATTTGCTCTATTCTATTAATTTTGATACTATAATATATTATATTAACTGCGATGACGAAGAATGAGCTTCTCACTATATTTATTCCTCTTTCTAGTTTTTCTTCCAAGTGCGGGATAACCCCAAGGGGTTGTAGGTTTTTTTCTCCCAATAGGGGCTCTACCCTCACCGCCCCCATGTGGATGGTCTACGGGGTTCATAGCTACTCCTCTAACTACAGGACGCTTACCTAGCCATCGTTTAGCTCCAGCTCTACCCAAATTTTTTTGGTTGAACCCAACATTTCCGACTTGTCCGATTGTTGCGGAGCAATTTTGGGATATAAAACGGACCTCGCCAGAAGGTAATTTTAATGTGGCTGATTTACCCTCTTTTGCAATCAGTTTCGCCATTGCACCCCGCTGCTCGAGCTAATTGTCCACCCCTTCCACGTGTGATTTCTAGGTTATGTATAGTCGTGCCTAAGGGGATTTCGGTCAAAGGTAGGGTATTTCCAATTTTGATTGAAACATCTGTACCAGAAACAATCGTATCTCCAATTTGAGCCCCTCTCGGATGTAAAATATACTTCTTCTCACCAGTCCGATAATGTATTAGACAAATGTTTGCATTTCTATTAGGGTCATATTCTATGGTTATGATTCTACCATATAGGTCTTTTTCATTCCGTCGAAAGTCTATTTTACGGTATAGGCGCTTATGACCCCCCCCCCCTATGCCTTGATGTAATGATTCCTCTAGCATTACGACCTTTACCACAATGATGCTTTCCAGAGAGCAAATTTTTCCTTCGAGCAAATTTTGGGCTGTTTACGGTTTCGCTCGGGTTATCAGTTTTGTATAATTTTATTCCCATGATATTAATGATTTTTATTTTGGATTGAAAGTTTATTTGTTTGGAGGCATACGTCTAATTCTCTGCGGTAGCCATTGCATTATATGTCCTCTAATAGGGAGGGCCTACCATTATGTGACCCTTTGCCAGAAGCGTAGCACTACTCAAAGTTTATGACGTGGACATAAAAAAACTATTTATTATTTTTTAATATTTTAATAACTAAATCCGTTTTTCTGTAAATACTATATCTTTTATTCCATCCCGAATTTGAGTATTAGTTTAAGTTGAAACTAGTTAGTTCGAGTAAAGAATGTTTTTGTGAATAAGTGTTCCTATATTAAGTGTTCCTATATATATATATAGATATATATATATATCTAATATAGATATATATTCTCTATATGTATTGGTATCCTAGAATTATCTATTATGATATATGAAAATGATATATGAAATGGAAATAGTCAAAATAAAATCTATCTAGGAACATATATCTTATATGATATTTGATTGATTTGATATGGACAAATTTATCTAGGAGCATATATATCTTATATGATATTTGATATGGATTATGAAGGAAATGCTCAAAGTAGATCTATGTTAATATATATCATATAGCCTAAAATATCACAAAAAGAAGAATTGGAGGGTCAATAATATTTTGTTTTGTGTAAATGACTAATAATGTGCATCCAGTAGGAATTGAACCTACGACTTCGCCAATTATGAGTTGGGCGCTTTAACCACTTAGCTATGGATGCTTAAACGAGACCATCATCTATCAAAATTGAAAATTAAAATAGAATAATTATGGCAATTTTTAATCTTGGAATATTTAATTACATTGAATTACAGCAAAAAATGTCGTTTAGATAAAGAATTTATGAAATCTGAAATACTAAACAAAAACTAGATTTCTTTTATCTTCTATATTTCTTTTATCTTCTATATTTAATATTTAATTATATAATATTATATTTATATATAATAATAATATGATATAATAGATATACAATATAGAATACAATAATAAAAGTATTAATACTTTTTAATACTTTATACAAAATTTTAGGGAGGTATGAAATGAATCCTAAGCCAGAAAAGTTCTGGATTTTCGAGTTACGAGAGATACTGAGAGAGATTAAAAAATCAAAATATTTTTTAGATTCATGGACCCAATTGAATGCAATCGGATTTTCAATTCATATTTTAGTCTCCCAAGAACGATTTTTAAAACTGTTTGACCCACAAATTTGGAGTCTTATACTTTCACCTAATTTGCAAGGTTCAAAAAGAAATAGATCAATCAAGATTAAGGGAGTTTTACTAGTTTTCGTTGGCGTTGTTATATTTATATATCGTATTAGCAATCAAAATATGGTTGAAAGAAAGAATCTCTATTTAAAAAGACTTTTTCCTATACCGATGAATTGCAGTGAATCCATAACTGATCAAGATAGTGGTTATTCTACTCTAAATCGATTAAGTATTTTACTCCTTTCTTTTCCAAAAGGCAAAAATCAAGTTGATATTGATTTAATGAATCCAAACTATAATACTCGGGTTTTACCAATAAAAAAAAAACCCTAACATGCCTCAATCAAAGTCAGATTCGCCGCAGGGGAAAAACTTTATTAGAGAAATTATTAGACGAACTAGAACGGAATTTAGAGAAATTCCAATGAAACTTCTTGGTTTCAATCTGGTATTCTTAAAAGAGAAAAAATCGCTTGAGTTTCCTTATAATTCCACAAGATCTAGTTCCTTACAAGTAAAAGATTTCGGCCAACCGAAAGGATCCTTGGATAGAAATTTTTTGGATTCTATTAGAAATGAGGATTCGGAATATTCTAAATTAATCAATCAAAGAGAAATTAAACAACGAAAACAAAGATCAACTTCTTGGGATCCTTACCTTTTTAAAACGGAACAAAAAGAGATCAAAGGCCGTAAACCAACGCTAAGCCTTCCGTTTCCGAAAGAAAGGGAACAATCTCGGGGCAATGCCCCGAGGTCCCTTTCTTCATTTTACTCTGATAGATGGTCAGAACTTTATATGGGATCAACTCCTATTGCTAAGTCCACTATGGATCCGAAATTTAGGAATAAATCTCTTTCTTTTGTCCGGCAAGCGGAAAAAAAAGAAATAGTTAATCTATTTAGAATACTTATGTATTTAAAAAGAACTGTTTTAATTAAGTCTATTTCTTTTGATCCCCAAATAAAAAATTCGAAGAATACTGGATTTCTTAAAAAAACTCCATTATTTTATTTTGTTAACCGATTTCTTGAAAGTAAACAAGGAAGCTATGTGCTACAACATGATTGGAAATCAAAAGAAAAATTACAAAAAAGTCCAGGTTTATTTATTCTGACAATAAGCGAGCCGGATCCAGTCTATAATAAGGGCTTTACTTTTTTTGTGAATATAGATTCATATGGATTGCATAAAATCAAATTATTGAATCAAATATTAAATACTAGGACTGACTCGAAAAATCAATCTTTGTTGGTTCTTTCGCCTATTTTTTTTCGTTATAAGGAGAAGAACTATTTTTTTCAACGAACGGGACAAAACTACGTCTGGATTGAAGCAGTGAATCAATGTATATCTATATTGATTCACAATCTGATTCAAATGCAATCTAATACCTATGTGTACATAAGAAATCTATTGAATCAATTTGTTTTCATAAATATATCCAATTGCAATTTCAAATATCGAATTAGGAGAATTCAAGGGGATCAAAAAGAAATGGGTCTTCTCAATCATCTAACTCATATGACATTTAAAATAAAAACGGGTCAACCATATAAATCCAAATGGTCAAATGGGACAAAGAGTTTACAAGAAAATTCAAAACATTTTCTTGATGAGCAGAAAAGACTTTTTAAAATGTATGTTCAAGTCCGAAAGGGCTATTTGCAAATGATGTTTGAGAAAGTTTATCAATTCTCTATTTATATTATTGATAAAATAACTGAGAAATGGATTTATTGGTCTAAGGTTCGCAGGGAAGTAGAAATCAAAGTAAAAAAAAATGTGTATAAGTTAATTCCTTTAGTTTTTACCAAGTTGTCGAAATCAGTACGTTTCTTCTTTTTGCCCCAGTCACTTCGTTTTTTTTTTACGAAGGGATTTCACTGTATGATCAAGTTGCTTTTGTTTTTGTCTAATTCACTTGGTTTTTCCTTTGTAAGTTTTGGTACTAGTCCTGTTCAGAGGTCCGAAATCTATATCTATGAATTAAAAGGACCGAACGGTCAACTTTGTAATCAGTTGTTGGAATCCATAGGTTTTAAAATTATTTATTTAAAAAAATTAAACCCCTTTTTGTTGGAAGAGTCTGGTACGTCGAACTTTGTTATCAATGAAACAAAGAGATCACCCTTTTTGTTTAATAATATAGCAAAAGGGCGGATTGATGCATTGCTTACTAGACAAAAATATTTTGATGAAAAGGGTAATGGGTTTCATCCCATGAACCTATTTCAAAGAAGTTCACTGATATCCGCTTTTTATAAAGCAAATAGACTTTGTTTCTTTAATATTCGACCTAACTCTAACTTCTGGTTAGATTGTAAGAGAAGATTTCCATTTTCTATCGAAAGGGCTCGGAATACTAATTCGTATTTTCTCTATGAGCAATTTCTAAATAGATTGTTCCTTGGGAATCAAAAAGTTTCTTTAGGTGGTGGGAAAAAAAGAAAGGTTTTTGGGGTTGGGGATAGAGCTACTATTTCACTAATTGATTCCTTATTTAAGGATTTTGTCAAAAACAGTGATCCACGGTATAACTTTGAGAATTCTTTTAATTCTGTAAGGCAATCCGATCCAGTCATGCCTAATTTGATTCTCAAGACTTTTGGAACCTCTTCTACAGAGGAAGAAATAGTCAATTTGGAAACAACTTATTGTCAACCGTTTTCAGATATAAATAGAAATATATATGATTCAGAAGAAAATCACTTTCATGAATATCCTAATTTTAATTTAAATATGGATTTGGTTGACATTCCCTGTTCTGATAAATATTTTTCATTTCAAAACAAAAAAAATCGAAAAAAAGGCGCTGCGTTTCAGAAAAGACGGATGGCAACAACTTTTCATAGAGAGAATTTTTTTTCCATTCTATCAGAAAAATTAAATCTTTTCCAAATCAATTTGCCAAACTTCTTCACTTTGACAGGGTACAAATATCTCAATTCTCTATTGATAGATATAGTTTCAATATTAAATAGTAGGATATCTATTTATTGGGAAATTTTGGATTTATTATGGCAAATTGTTAAGATGAAATTGTTGCCCTTTTTTATAACAAGTGAAATCTCAAGTAAGTGGTTACATAATCGTCTTCTGGCGAGCGAAAGGTTGCAACGAAATACTAAAACATCAACATATTTTAGATCACCAAGTGGATCACCAAGTGGTTGGGCTTTTTTCGTTTCAATTCCTTTCCTTCTTATTGGTGTTAGTTATCTCGTTCTTATCAATCTTGTCTTTGTTTCTCGAGCTTTGAGAGAGTTAGATATCAAATTTAAAAAATTAAAACCTTTTCTAATTCCCTCATATCTAATTGAGTTTCAAAAACTTGTAGATAAATATCCTATGTGTCAATCAAATGAGTTTTGGTTAAATAATATATTTATATTTGGCTTTAACCAATTCGTACGTTTGTTAGAAGGAATCCAAGGTTTTGTTTTCGGTCTCAACAAGATTCATCTTACTTTGAAAGTGAAACCAAGACGTTTGACGAATAAATCTTTCAATATCCTTGAACATATAACTGGAATTGTTGTTTCTATAAATAGAAATATGCAATATATCAGTTCTATCAGTCCTAAAAGTAAAGAGCTCTATTCATTGATAAGAAAAAGAGAAAACGTGAAGGCAAATTGGATTGATGATCAAATAGAATCCTGGATCGTAAACAGCGATTCTATTCATGAGGAAGAAAGACAATTTTTGGTTCAGCTAGCCACTTTAACAACAGAAAAAAGAATTCCATCGAGTCTGACTGACAGGGATCATTTATTAAAGAATGACTTAGGTTATCCAATGATTGACCAACCGGGAGCAATTTATTTACGATACTTAATTGACATTCATCAAAAGGATCTAATGAACTATGAGTTTAATAGATCTTTTTTAGCAGAAAGACGCATATTCCTTGCTCATTCTCAGACAATGACTTACCCACAAACTTCGTATGCTCATTTAGCATGTCGTGGAAAGCCTTTTTCGCTCCGCTTAGACTTATCCCCCTCTAGGGGTACTTTAGTTATCGGTTCTATAGGAACTGGACCATCTTATTTGGTCAAATACCTAGCAACAAACTCCTATATGCCTTTCATTACGGTATTTGTGAACAAGTTGCGAGATAAGAGTCGTAAATTTATGGCTGATTTCTTTATTGATAATAGTATCAATATTAATGCTAGTGACGATATCAATATAACTAAGAGCGACAGTATTGATGACGATATGAATTGTGACCTTACTACGGAGCTGGAAATCCTAACTAGGATGAATGCGCTAACTATGGATAGGGAGATGAAGGCTGAAATAGATCGATTATCTATCACCCTTCAATTTGAATTAGCAAGAGCTATGTCTCCTTGCATAATCTGGATTCCAAATATTCATGATCTGGATGTGAATGAGTCAAATTCCTTATCTCTTGGTCTATTAGTTAACCATCTTTCAAAGGATTGTGCAAGAAGTTCTCCTAGAAATATTCTTGTTATTGCTTCTACTCATATTCCTCAAAAAGTGGATCCCGCTCTAATAGCTCCGAAAAGGTTGAATACGTGTATTAAATTACGAAGGCTTGTTAATCCACAAAAAAGAAAGTACTTTTTTACTCTTTCATCTAATAGGGGATTTGACTTGGACAAGAAACTGTTCCGTACTAATGGATTCGGGTCCATAACCATGGGTCCCAATATAGGAGATATTCTAGCACTTACCAATGAGGTTCTATCAATAAGTATTACACAGAAAAAATCCATTATAGACAATAATACAATTAGAGCCGCTCTTCATAGACAAACTTGGGATTTGCAATCACAGTTAAATTTGGTTCAGGATCATGGGATCCTTTTATATCAGATAGGAAGGGCTGTAGCACAAAATTTACTGCTAAGTAATTGTCCCGTAGATCCTATATCTATCTATCTGAAGAAGGAATTATGTAATGAGGCG